ATTTCTTTTATGATGAAAACATGCTAACTAACATATATTAAACTCAGAAAATTTGCTTGAAAGTGTGCCCTTGGAAATTTGAGAGATTGGTATATAAAAAGATGGTTTTGTGCCGAAATGGGGAATATGCATGAGAGATAGAATCAATACTCAACTCTTAGCATTTTTAACACAAGTAACTCATCAATAACAGATCTGAAAACATTATTTAGAACCCTTAGAAACATGTATTTGAAAAAGGAAAATGAAAGAGAACGATGTGTTGTGGCTTACCTACTAAGCTTTGCCCAAGAAGGCTCTCTTTTTCCTCCCTCTTCTTCTCTAGACTTCTCTCTCATGCTCTCCTCCCTCTCTCTAGCCGAAAGTGTGTGTGAGTGTGTTATTTGTGCTTGCCAAGCTAGGGGGGTGTTGGTATATATAGACAATTTTGATGTAAAATGCCCTAAAAGCCCATTAGTTGGAAATGGATGGAAATGTTAGGACTTGTTTAAAGTTTTAAAGGAATTGGGATGATTTGGGAGGCTTACTCTTAGGTTTAGGCAACATTTGGTTGTAATGAAACTAGTTTTGGAATTAGTATCCTAGGTCTAAGGTACTAGGTTTGTGAGTTTCTAGATTTTCATGATGATAGACTTAGAAAATTGTATCCTTACTTCCTCCTAGAATGGCGGGCCCTAGGGAAGGGTGAAGGGGCTATTTTTTAATTAATTTAGGTTCTAGGGCACACTCCTCAATGTGTATATATATATATATATATCTCACTTGATTGATGGCACGTATGGTACAAGGGTACATGTACTAGTTTTTGGGATAAGTTTTGAATTTAAATAAAGAGGAGTTAAATACTTGTGTTGGAAGCTTACTCATGTAGAATTAAATTGAATTAGGTTAGGGAACCTAATCTAGCTAGAAAAATTCCTGTTTTGCTGAGAAAAAAAAAAATAAATGAAATGCTAACCAACAAGATCTGAAATAATTCAAGTAACCGAGGGGCTTTAAGAAAATAATTCAAACATTAGGGTCTTTAAAGTGAATACATATTTCAGCGGCTTCACAACCTATCCCCCATAAAACAATTTCGTCCCCAAAATTCAACTACATACTGCCTTCGAAAAGCTCGGGGTAGTTTGCCTTCACCCAATCCTGGCATTCCCAAGTAGATTCCTCAATTCCCCGATGACGCCATAGCACTTTCACCAAGTGAACCGTCTTGCCTCTAAGGTTCTTCTCTCGACTGTCCTGTATTGCTACCGGTCCTTCTTTAAATGTAACATCTTTGTCAAGACTGATCTCTTCCCATCTGAGGACGTGTGATGGGTCAGTGATGTATTTTCTCAACATAGATACATGGAAGACGTTATGTATTCCTGCTAGCTGCGGGGGTAGAGCTAGTCTATATGTTACTTCGCCCATTCTTTCCAATAATACCTCAAAAGGACCAATATATCGTAGTGATAGCTTTCCCTTTCTCCAAAAATGTACGACTCCATGCCTGGGTTGCACCTTTAGGAACACATGGCTGCCTACTTCAAACATCAATGGTCTTCTCCTCCTACCTGCATAATTCTTTTGACGGTCTTGGGCAGTCTTTAACCGTTGTCGGATCAATTTGACCTTCTCAGTAGTTTCTAGAACAAGTTCGGGTCCTATCAGATTTGCATCACCCACTTCCGTCCAACAAATCGGCGATCTACAAGGTCGTCCATATAATGCTTCAAAGGGCGCCATACCGATACTAGGTTGGAAGCTGTTGTTGTAGGCGAATTCAATTAGGGGTAGGTGTCGTTCCCAACTTCCTTGAAAATCCATTGCACAAGCTCTCAACATATCTTCGAGTGTTTGGATAGTGCGCTCAGATTGTCCATCTGTCTGTGGGTGAAAGGCGGTGCTAAAACATAACTCAGTACCAAGAGCTTCCTGCAGGCTCCCCCAAAATCGAGAGGTGAATCGTGGATCACGATCTGACACAATAGATACTGGAATTCCATGTAGTCGAATGATCTCCCCAATGTAGAGCCTCCACATAGACTCTAAAGTGTCGGTCATCTTATAGGGTAAGAAATGTGTTGACTTGGTGAGGCGATCCACTATTACCCATATAGCACCGCGCCCTCTGGGTGACTTAGACAACCCTGTCACAAAATCCATCGTCACATACTCCCACTTCCATTCGGCTATTGGTAGAGGTTACAATATTCCCCCTGGTTTCTGATGTTCCGCCTTCACTTGTTGGCATGTCAGACATTTCGCTACAAACCTAGCCACTTCCTTCTTCATTTCATTCCCCCAATACTGCCTCTTCAAATCTTGGTACATTTTGGTCCTTCCTGGATATACCACAAATACAGAATGATGACATTCCTTCAGTACCTTTCCTCTAAGTAACTCGTCACTTGGTACAAACAATCTACCTTGGTATCTTAAACTCCCATCGGGGTGAATTACCCAATCGGGCATGGGCTCTCCTGATTCTAGACGTCCCTTGATGTAAGCTACCTCTTGATTGTGTTTCTGGGACTCCGTGACCTCATTCATCAACTTAGGCATCACCTTCTGAGCACTAAGATATGCTTTCGTATCTCGAGATTCCACTTGGATCCTGAACTCGTTGAGTGTCTTAACCATATCCCATTCCTTGACGGAGATCTTAGCCATCATCCCTCTACTTTTACGACTTAGAGCATCTGCTACTACATTGACTTTACCGGGGTGATATGAGAGAGTGAACTGGAAATCCTCAAGATACTCCATCCATCGTCTCTGTCTCAAGTTAAGGTCCTTCTGTGTGAATAGATACTTCAGACTTGTGATCTATGAAGATCTCAAATTGTTCCCCATACAGGTAATGTCGCCACTGCTTTAGGGCAAAAACTACGGCTACTAACTCCAAATCATGTGTGGGGTAGTTGCGCTCATGAGGTTTCAACTGCCTGGACCCATATGCGACTACCTTTCCATTTTGCATGAGCACGCAACCTAACCCTTCTTTAGACGCATCGCAATACACATTGTACTCCTCTTCTCGTTCTGGGATGGTCAAAATTGGCGCACTAGTTAACCTCTTCTTTAGCTCTTGGAAGGATTTTTCGCAAGCTTCGTCTCACTCATACTTTACTCCCTTTTGTGTCAAACAAGTCATTGGTTTAGCTAGTTTGGAGAAATCTTGGATGAACCTTCGGTAATAACCGGCTAATCCTAAGAAGCTGCGGATTTCTGACACGATTTTTGGTTGTCTCCAATCTAATACTACCTCCACCTTGGTTGGATCCACCGCAATCCCATTCTCTGATACCACTTGCCCTAAGAATTTTACTTCATTCAACCAGAATTCACATTTACTCGGCTTAGCATATAACCGATTATCCCTAAGAACTTGGAGGACAGTCCTTAAATGTTGCTCATGCTCTTCTTCAGACCTTGAGTATACCAAGATGTCATCAATGAACACTACTACAAATTGGTCAAGGTATGGTCTAAAGATCTTATTCATTAGGCTCATGAATACTGCCGGTGCATTGGTTAGTCCGAAGGGCATTACTACAAACCCATAGTGGCCATATCTAGTACGAAATGCAGTCTTTGGTATATCCTCCACCTTGACTCGTAGTTGATGGTAACCAGACCTGAGATCAATCTTTGAATAGCACCTTGAGCCTCTAAGTTGGTCAAAAAGGTCATCAATCCTTGGGAGTGGGTATCGGTACTTAATCGTGACTCGATTGAGTTGACGATAATCGATGCATAACCTCAACGACCCATCCTTCTTTTTAGCAAACAACACGGGTGCTCCCCATGGCGAAGTACTTGGCCTAATGAATCCTCTCTCGAGCAATTCCTGTAGTTGTGTCTTCAATTCTCGTAGTTCTGCTGGTGCCATGCGATACAGAGCCATGGATATTGGGGTAGTTCCAGGTTGCAGCTCGATGCTAAAGTCTACTTCCCGTATTGGCGGCAACCCTGGTAATTCCGTAGGAAATACATCTGCATAATCGCATTCTACGCGCAAAAGTTCTATTTCTCCTTGGCCTTCCTCATTTAGAATCAGACTTGCTATCCTACCCGCAAGTTGATCATACCACTGCGTCCGATGTTTCGTTGAAGCCATGGGGTCTTGTCTATCCCCCTTAAAAAGGAAATGTGATCCATCTTGCGTATGAGCTACCACTTTCTTCTGACGATAATCGATCACTGCTCGGTGGGCGAACAACCAGTCCATGCCGAAGATGATATCGAAGTCCGACATTTCCATGACACAAAGGTCGCAAGTTAAGCGTAGGTTCGACATTCCTATCTTACAATCGTTATAAATCAATCCTACTCGAATGCATCCTCCCATAGGTGACATTACACTTAAGGCAGTTTCTAAAGGTTCATATACAAGTTCTAATAACTTAGCACAAGCAGAGGATATAAAAGAATGTAATGCACCGGTATCAAATAAAACATGCACCCAAGAATTGTATAGTACTAAATTACCCTCAATTACAGACGGGTTCGCTTCTTCCTCTTGCAGGGCAAAGATTATGCCGGTTGCCTTCTGGTTGCCATTGGTCTTGGCGTTCTGAGTTCCTCCACTCTTCTGGTGCTGCTGCCCGGTAGATCCTATCTTATTTGTCCAAGGCTTCTACCCACCTAATGCCTGGGCATTTGCTCCAGAACCTCCTCCTTGGTATCCAGATGGAGGGAGTTGGGGGCATTCGCTCTTTTTGTGCCCTAATTGTTGATAATGAAAGCACTGGATTTGTCCCATCGGCCTTTGTCGATAGCCTCCTCTCTGGATCTGTTGTTGCGGTTGCTGTCGTTGCTGTTGTGGTTGTGGTCTGGAGTAGGGCTTTGAGGTTGTGATGACCCTGTTCCGTAATTAGCTAATTGGTCCTTATCATGAGTTTGATTATATGTTTAATATGATTTTGTGTGCCATTATGTGAAAATGTGCAATTTTGAATTTCTATCTGTTCACCGTAGGAATATCTATTTGCTTATCTGCTTTGGGAATTAAATTGAAGGCCTTATCGGCTACAGAACCCGAAATTGATTACGCCATTGTGATTGGCATAATTTTTAGAGCCTACGGTGAAGTTTAATTGAAAAATTGATGCAGACCAAATTAAGTTGATTAAATTAATAAATTAGTGCCCAATTCTTATTATTATTATAATGAAATTAGTGGAGAGTGTTGTAAAAAGGCACTATACACTCAAATCCCTCCTTCTTATCATTTGGCTGATTTTGGCTCCAAGAGAGA